AAAAAAAAAAAAGAAAAAAAGAAAAGTATGTGGCATTTGTGTGGAACATCTTAGCTTCTCTGAGCCTCTGGGCCATCCCCAGGGTCTGTGGGTCAGGAGTCCTGGATCCACTAGATATGTGAGGAGACTAAGGCTTGGAGAGGGGCAGTGCCGTGGCTTCTTTCACATACTGTATCTTCAAGGGAAGCCGATAAAGCCAGAAGCCCAGGCTGGAAGGCCTAGCTGTGGCTCTAGGTTCTCAGGATAAGCATAGACACCAGCCAAGGTGACCAGGAAGCCTAGGTTTGGCCTTTCTGGAGGAGATTTGGGAGTCCTCATCTCCCTACATTGCAGCAGTTTTCCTTGAGGCATAGAAGAAGCTGGCCAGGAGTAGCCAGTTAGTGCCCCCACCCAAGCCCTCCCCTGCTCCTTTTCTCCCCTGCGCTGAGGCAGCTCACCCAGGGAACAAACTCTTTTTTGCAACTGCCCCCATGCAGGCTGCCCTATCACTTGGAGAAAGTCTCTTTGGTGTATGAGCTTCTCAGGATCTGGCCAGCATTGCTGACTTCCCTATCTGTGCTTTTATATCCACCCTCAGGGAAGGCTGTACCATATCCTGAGTCATCACTACTGTCTGTGGCATGGACTGCCCTTACATCCTCTCCTGCTTACAGCCTTGGGAATCCAGAGTTCTAAGCACAGCTCTACAGCCTGGTCCCTTCCTCTAGGCTGTCAGACCAATGCCCACACTATATGCTGTTTGTGTTCTAGGATAACCTCTGAGAATGTGGCTGAGCGGTTTGGCATTTCAAGGGAGAAGCAGGATACCTTTGCCCTGGCTTCCCAGCAGAAGTGAGTACTGCTTGGGGAGGAATGTTTAAAGGGCTGGAGAGTGAGGTTTTGAGTCTATCCTAAGTGGTCTGAAGTGGCACCGTTTTGTAGTTACCGCTGGGCAGTGAGTGCTTTCCAGGCCTCGTGCCACCCAGGTTGGGGGTGGGAAGTGGGAAGTGTCAGGGCCACTGTGAGTTGGTAGTACTTCCAGGTTCTATTACTGTCTGTTCACCCTGACTTTGCCCTAGCTAGGCCTCAGTTTCCCCCTCTGTTCTTTTCTGGCTGTGGTTTGCAGATTGGACATTGTGGGAGTCCAGTCCTGGAGCGTGGGGCCAGGAATGTTAGGGACCCTGGCACCCTAGCTTCTGGACCATGCTGGGTCTGTGGCAGCATCCTAAGGCAAGAACTGGGGATGATATCAGAGAAACCCCAGGGGCTCAGGCAGGCTAACATTGGCAAGTCCGGCCTGTCCAGAGAGAGGGCAGCAAAAGCAGGAGTGGTATCTGGGCCAGCTTGGCTTCCCTGAGGCAGTGATTCTTAGCCACTTTGGGTCACATAACCGTTTGAAAATGTGTTGGAAGCCTTAGATTCCTTCCACTGGAATGTCCCTGGGCACTTAATATGCTGCACATGTTTGTATTCCCTTAAATACCTTGTGCTTTAAAACTGCTTAAATAAAAAATACATGAGTAGTTTAGTATATGTCACTTTAAATAGGTGGAAACTGGTGAGTAGATGACATCGAACTGTTAAGTTTGAGCAGAAAAGTTGGCAGAACCCAGCACAAATATTTCTGGGGTTCCATCCTCAGTTTAGCAGAGAGAGCCAAGCAGGCTTAGTCCCTCTCAGACAAAGGGCTCTAAGTGGAGGCACCACCTCCAAACACCCTTGCCCCTTTTGAGGCTGGGATTGGCCACGATCTGGAGGTCTAGGGCTGATGGTGAAGTAGGCCCTGTAAGGCCTTGGCCGTGCCCTCAGAGCTCCCCCAAAGTCCAGCATGTCCCTGAATTTAGCAGCCTAAGCTTGCATCTACCCAAATGGATAGGGGTTGGGGGCAGGGAGGAAGATAACCCTAAGGGAGCTGAGCCTGGCTGTCCATGGTGCTGGCAGGGCAGCAAGAGCCCAGAGCAAGGGCTGTTTCCAAGCTGAGATTGTGCCTGTGACCACCACGGTCCATGATGACAAGGGCACCAAGAGGAGCATCACTGTGACCCAGGATGAGGGTATCCGCCCCAGCACCACCATGGAGGGCCTGGCCAAACTGAAGCCTGCCTTCAAGAAGGACGGTTCTACCACAGCTGGTGAGACTGGTCTGGGGTGCGGGTGTGAGAAAGGAGGCCATGGCCATGCTGGGTGCTGTACTCTGGGAACCTGGAACAGACCCCTCTGCAAAGCAGAAGTGGGAGGGCTGGGATCTCCTCAGCCCCACCCTGATGCCTTCTTACCCCAACAATTTGCCCCTAGGAAACTCTAGCCAAGTGAGTGATGGGGCAGCTGCCATCCTGCTGGCCCGGAGGTCCAAGGCAGAAGAGTTGGGCCTTCCCATCCTTGGGATCCTGAGGTCCTATGCAGTGGTTGGGGTCCCACCTGACATCATGGGCATCGGACCTGCCTACGCCATCCCTATAGCTTTGCAAAAAGCAGGTAAGGTGGCTCCTTCACATCGTATCTGGGTCCCACCTGGATCCTGCAGCTGCCCTGCATGCTGTTGCCAGGGGCATGAGGGTGGTCCTGTGGGTGCTGCAGAGTGGAGGTGGGGCAGGCTAGTGTCCCATACTCCAAGCCCTTCCTGACCCCACAGCTGCGACTGGCTCACCCTTTTGGAAGAGACACATACCAGGCAGCCTGTAGGCCCGTGGATGGGGCGGGTCCCAGGGGAGGCAGACGGCCAGTGTGTCAGTTCAGGTCTCTGCCTTGCCTGCAGGGCTGACAGTGAGTGACGTGGACATCTTTGAGATCAATGAGGCCTTTGCAAGCCAGGTGAGCCCTTGTTTCTCAATGTTGCCTTGGCCCTGGACAGCCGAGGTGGAGTGAGCAGGCAAGTGGTGCAGGGGAGGGGTAAGAGGGCTGTAGCTGATGATCTGCCTCCTTCCAGGCTGCCTACTGTGTGGAGAAGCTACGACTCCCCTCTGAGAAGGTGAACCCTCTGGGCGGTGCAGTGGCCTTAGGGCACCCATTGGGCTGCACTGGGGCACGACAGGTCATCACGCTGCTCAACGAGCTGAAGCGCCGTGGGAAGAGGTAAGGCTTTGCTCCTGGCAGTGGGGTCATGGGGAGATACCCAAGCCAGGGCACCTGAGGGGCAGGGGATAGAGGTAGGTGGGTTTTGGATCATAATCTCGACAGACACAGTCCTGAGCGCCGTAATCCCAAATGTTGAAATCCCAAAAGATCAAAGTCCGTAAGGTCTTGGCTGGTCCAAAGGTAGTGAGTTATCTTGATTGTTCAGTTACAGATCAATCTCCTTATTCTACTCTTTACCTCCTTCTTACTTCTACACTTGACTAGTCAAGCAGAAAGATCCTTACTGTCTAAAATCCCAAAAAATCACAATCTGAAAAGATTAAAATCCTGAATGTTGAAATCCTAATGTTGAATTCATGTTATGAATTCTAGAGAAGGGATTAGTGCATTTTCCACCGTATGTAGAATACTGCATCATATTAGTTACACCATGTAACTAATTGTCTTATTAGGAAATTAAGTATGGTTTAAGGAGATGTGAATGGGTGCTAAGTTGACAAGGAATGGACTTAATTTTGGGAATACCTAGAAACCTGACAAAGTAATGTTTTGGGTGTATCTGTGAGGGTGTTTGCAGAGGAGGTTAGAGTATGCATCTGAGTGGACCAGGTGGGGAAGATCCGCCCTCAGTGTTGGCAGGCACCATCTAATTGCCTAGGGCCCTGGAGAGAACAAATGCAGAAGTTGAACTGTCTCTCTCAGAGCTGGGACACACTTTCTGCCTTGGACATCAGAAATCTGATTCCATGAAAGTGCATTATCACATTGACTTTGTAAGCCTTGCGCATGTACATAAAAATGTTGAAACTTCCTCAGTAAATGAAGAAGTGTGCTGTTTGTGCACCTGCATTTGTGAAAGATAAAATTTCTCAAGATCTTGGTTCTTTGGGTGACTACTTATGCAGTGCTGACCCATCCCAGGTTGGTTTGTTTTTTGAGACAGGGTCTTACTCCGTTGCCCAGGCTGGAGTGGAGTGGCTCCATCTCAGGCTCACTGCAACCTCTGCTTCCCTAGCTCAAGCAATCCTCCCACCTCGGCCTCCTAAGTAGCTGAGACTATATGTGCGTGCCACCACACTCAGCTAATTTTCTGTATTTTTTGTAGAGACAGGGTTTTGCTATGTTGTCCAGGCTGATCTCGAACTCCGGGGCTCAAGTGATCCTCCCACCTTAGCTTCCAAAGTGCTGGGATTACAGGTGTGAGCCACAGTGCCTGGCTCCATCAGTTTTTGATCAGTCTCATCAAAAGACATAGGTTGTCCCTCATGGTATTCATATGACTGCAGTTATAAAGCTGGGTGCACACGATTACCAGCCATTTATACAGTTTGCTTTTTAACCTATTTATGAATACAGTTTGTCTATTTATAATTGTTATACTCCTGTGACTATTGTTAGCATACCTGAGTGTTTATGTCTGTAAAAATTTGTAATTATTGCCTATTTTACTGTGTAAAGTAGCCTGTGAAGTGTTCTGTTGTTTTTGTTTCTCAAATAAATCCACTTTTAAAAATGTATTTTTTTTTTTTTTTGACATGGAGTCTCACTCTGTTGTCCAGGCTGGATTGCAGTGGTGTGATCTCGGCTCACTGCAACCTCTGCCTTTTGGGTTCAAGCAATTTTCCTGCCTCAGCCTCCCGAGTATCTGGGATTATAGGTGTCTGCCACCACACCCAGTTAAATTTTGTATTTTTAGTGGAGACAGGGTTTCACCATGTTGGCCAGGCTGGTCTTGAACTCCTGACCTCATGATCCACCTGCCTCAGCCTCCCAAAGTGTTGGGATTACAGGTTTGAGCCACTGCACCTGGCCTAAAAATGTAAATATTTTTTAAATCAATCTTTTAAAAAAGTTTTTTTCTAAAATGGGGTCTTGCTATATTGCCCAGGCTGGTCTTGAACTCCTAGGCATAAGTGATCCTCTTGCCTCAGCCTGCTGAATAGCTGGGACTACAAGTAGATGCCACCATGCCAGGCTTCCAAATTATTTTTTCCAGAATTATATTTTCTAGATTTTGGTCTTTTAGGATAGTGATTTTCAGGATTTTAGACTTTAGGGGTTTTTGTTCTTCCAGGATTTCAACATTTGGGATGATTGCGTTTGGGACTGTGTCTTTTGGGATTATGATCGGTCCCTGGGGAGGGGAACATGCACACAGAAACACCCTGAACTGAGGATGTAGGGGCATGATCCCTGTTTTCCCTGAGGGCCAGCCTTGAAAGGGATACTAGCCTGCAGTGGGCATCTGCCACCGTGTGTGTGCCCAAGTGGGAGGCCAGGGTACTGCTTGCCCACAGATCTGGTCTGATGGTTTTGCATCCTACTTGTCCATGAAGTCCTTCTGGCTCAGCCTGGTCTGGAGGTAACTTGGTGGGTGCCTTTGCCCAGCCAATTAAGTTTTGTTTTCACAGGGCATACGGAGTGGTGTCCATGTGCATCGGAACTGGAATGGGAGCCGCTGCTGTCTTTGAATACCCTGGGAACTGAGTGAGGTCCCAGGCTGGAGGCGCTACGCAGACAGTCCTGCTGCTGTAGCAGCAAGGCAGCAACACTACAGAAGCAAAACCACATGAGAAAACTCAGCACTGGTGGTGGTGGCAGTGGACAGATCAAGGCACTTCAACTCATTTGGAAAATGTGAACACTGATGACATGGTATAGGAGTGGGTAGGGTGTTGAGCCACGCATCAGACCCTCTTTAGCTGTGCAAGACAAAAGCAGCCTGGGTCATCCAGGCCACAAGGCCATGGTTAATTCTTAGGGCAAGGCGAATTCATGGATGAGAAGTGCAATGGGCATAGTAAAACTGCATGAATTTATCTTAGTGGCTGTGGTTTTTTTCCAAGGCTAATTTTGCCATACTGGTCTTTGCTATGCAATGAGTAGTGATTCTCAATGCGGTGCTCTCTACTGTGGTGTAGCCTATCCTTTGTGTTAGCTCTGAGGACATATCATGAAGGCCTAGGCTGAGACCATTGTGGAAGGGGGTTCTTCCATTCCAGGAGCTGCCCAGAGGTCCCCAGGTCTGTGTCTTTGTGCTGAAGATCTGCTCCTAATCCCTGGGCAATGTTTATTCTCCAGCTGGGGCCTAGGGCTGAGGGCTGGGGCGGAGCCTCAGGGCTGGTGAGGCAACATGTATCTCTCATCATAAGAGCCTTGGCCCCGGAGCCGCAGGGTGCAGGACTTCTCACCAAGCACACCTTCCACCACCATCGTGGACTCGTACAGCTCACTACTCCTGTGGGGAGCATGTAGGGGCTGAGGTTAGGAGGGGCCTGGGCATGGGGTCCAGGCCCTATGGGCAGTTTGGGGGAGGTTGGAAGGGGCTGTACCTGGCAGTGAAGAAAACCTGCAAGGCGATGGAGGTTGGGGGTGCATTGGCGGATCGTGCTTCTAGCAGCCCACTGCTTGGGGAGACGCCGAAGGCCACAGCGGCCTTGGGTGGCTCCTGCTGGCCTGCACCAAAGGGTAGGGAAGACACATGAGTGCAGGCAGCCCCATGTACTGCCACAAGAAGACTTCACCCTCCCCCAGGCCTGCATCTCTGGTCTTGCTCAGCACTGCAAGGCAGGGCAAGCCTGAGATCATGTGGAATTGGGGGACTGGCTGTTCTGCAGAAATTCCAAGTGGTGCCTGCCCTGGGAGCCAGCATGCAAGGACAGGGCACAGGGGCCCCCTTCCTGGGGGTCTTCTCTTGTCACAACCCTGTAGGGGAACAGTGGGTAGGTGGGAGAGTAGGACATACCCATCAGCATAGTCCAGTAGCTTCGGCAGCCGCTCAGGTTCATCAGGTAGACCTCCCGGACTCGCTGCTGGCTCACAAAGCAGGTCCCAAAGTCCACCCAGCTGGTGGAGAGCTGCAGCTCAGGCACGGCCACCACGGCCCGCAGGGGCACCACCTGTGGGAGACCAGGCAACCTTGTCCATTCTGGGTGGGCTGTGAGCCAGGGCCTCTGGGACACAGGGAACCCTGCAGACCCCAAGTGCTGATGCTCCTGAGGAAAACGGGAAGTGCCCAGCAGTTGGCAGGGGGCCAGTGCCACCTTCGAAGGCCACAGGCTGCTACTGGGAGTCTGCGCAGGGAAAGGGCCAGGGTGATGCCATCCATTCCCCCGCTGTCCCTGCCTCCCTAACTCATAAAGCTCCAGTCCCTGCACCCTGGCTGGTTGGGCTGCCCTCCTTCACCCCTCCTCCTACTATGGTGGCCCCCAAGGCCCATCCCTCAGCTTCTCTCAGGCCCTGGACCATTTGTTTGTGTCCCTTGGCCGCAGGCCTCACCTGTGCCCTGCTCTATCTCCTGGCAGCCACTGCATCACACTCAGGCGCTGCCATGCACGATCCCATGGCCTCAGTCCCAGCAGCTGCCTGGGTGCCAGGCTGGAGCGCCTCGGCTCCACTGCTGAGCCTCCTGTCCCCGGCCTCTCTGGAGTCCTCCCCAGGCCACTCCTTCACTCCTTACCAGTAGCCCCTGCTCAGCCTCCACACTACGACCTGGTGACCTTCTGGTCCATGGTGCTCGCCCTGGTGCTTGAAACCTAGCAAGCCCCAGGGCTGCCCCTCGCAGCTGCCTCAGGTGCTCACTGTCCCCACCCATCAGGCCTTTCTTTTGGCCTGGCCGTCAACCTGTTTCCCTTTCTTGATTAATCGGTGTACGGGCTTCATGTGCCACCTCCTGCAGGGAGCCTTCCCTGATTTCCCACACTCAGGCCCTCACCTGGCTTTGGGCTCATGAGGCAGGTGAGGGTGGATGGCCCTCATCTCTCTGCACACAGGTCTTCTAGGGGAGACTGAGCACTAGGACAGAGGCAGGGGTTCCTTATTTTAAGGGCCCTGCTAGGGCTTTCTCCTCTGGCCCCAGCAGAACAGAGCCCAGCCTACTTCCACCCTCCTCCACATGTGGGTGGGCCTGGGGCATGCCTGAGTGGTCTGGTTGGTGTACTCCAGGAGCAGGTTCTGAGTAAACACCATCTCTCTCTCTCCACTCGCGCTCTGCTGAATGTCCACCCCAGGCAGCGTCTGGTCGGCCGGGAGCTTCTGATAGGAGAGCAGCTCCAGGGAGAGTGAGAAGGACACGTTCACCTGAGCAGATGTGGACATGGTGTCATCTCCGGCTGCAGAGGGCAGATGGCCACTTCCCCACCTGGAGCTCCATCCTTCTTCCCTCCCAGGCCCAGCCTCTAAGGCCCGGACTGGCCCAGCCCTGCTCAGCCAACAGCCCAGCAGCTCCCCAACCTGGTGCTTTTCATTCCACAAGTGCTGCCCAGCACCTACTCTGCCCAGCACCTTGCTAGTGTCAGGGACAAGTCATGTCTGCCCTCAGAGGTCAGAGGCTAGAGGGGAAGGTACATGAGCAAGCTGCCCTTTACCACTTCAAATTCCCAGAGCTGTGGTTGGACTCAGAGGCAGAGGAAGGACTTGGTCTGTGTGCTGAGGACAGTGAGGAGCCTCTGACAGGTCACTGACCTGGCAGGGAGACAGGCTGCAGACCACACATGAGTGTGATGATGCCATACCAGGGGCTGAGGCTGTAACTGAGGCTGGACAGGATGGAGCTTGGACTCCTGGCTCCCAGCACAGGTCCTTGGTACAAGTTTATCAGAATCAACTGTGAGGCACTTGTTACAAATACAGATTCTTAGGCCTCACCCAGACCTTCACATCTCTGGAGGTGGGGTCTGGGAGCTGCTGCCTTAATAAGCTTTGTCAAGGGTACTAATTTGCTGGGAGCAGTGGCTCACATCTGTAATCCCTTCTTCCCTCCCAGGCCCAGCCCCTGAAGGGAGGTTTTGGGAGGCTGAGGTGGGAGGATTGCTTGAGCCCAGGAGTTGAAGACCAGCCTGGGCAATGTAATGAGACCTTGTCTCTGCAAATAATAGCTGGGCATGGTGGCATATGCCTCTGGTCCAAGCTACTTGGGAGGCTGAGGTGGGAGGATTGCTTGAACCCCCAGGCAGTTGAGGCTTCAGTGAACCATGATCATGCCACTGCACTCCAGCCTGAGTGACACAGCAAGACCCAATCTTAAAAAATAGGCCACTGATTTATTGGCAGGCTTAGACACCGCTGTCCTAAACCAAGATATGGGTGTAGGGATGAAGAAAAGAGAATAGTGTTGGGAGAACTTTAGGAGGGGGCATCCGCAGGGCTTGGTGGCTTGGTCAGAGATCAGTCTACGACAAGGGGTGCCAGAGCTCTGGGCATGAGCAAGGGGGTTAGGAGTGGTATTTGCTGAGACAAAATGCCACCACAAAAAGGAGGCACAGGTGTGGGGCAGGACAAGGTGGGGGAGGGGATGGGGAGTTCACTTTGGACAGGTTGAGTTTGGCTCTAGAGCCTGGGAGATAATTCTGGCCAGGAGCCAGAAACCTGAGCATTGTTAGCTCATGGAGGGTGAGATGCAGCACCATTATGTGATGTCCTTTTTGTGGAACCTTTGGGCTTCCCCAGAGCTGCCAAGGACTTTTAAATGCCTGGTGGCTAACTGCCGTGTCTCCTGGGAAGCTCTGGGGGAATGGAACCTCTGGCTGTGCTCTGAGCCTTGCCCTCCATTTAGCTTGTTGAGGGGAGCAAATGCAAAGTGGGTCAAGGGTGCCATTCTGTCTTCTGCAGATCCGTGTGTGTCCCTGACCTCCATGATGAGGTCCTCAGGGAGTTCCATCACCTAGCCCAGCGTCTAGTACACAGCAGGCCCTCGCTACACAGTGGAGTATACATTGGATAGAGAGAATATGGCTGTTCACTGAGGCTCTGGAAATGGACAAGACAACCCAGAAATGTGCAGAGTGAGGCTAGAGCCTGGCAGAGCTCAAGGGAGCACAGCATGAAGAGAAGCCCTCCAAGGAGAGGAAGAAAGAGGACCTCTGAAGCAGGAGGGGAAGTAGGAAACAGGGCAGGGCTGTCTACCCTCAGCCTGCCTCTGCGCACCCTGGAAGCCCACTGTGCAGATATGGGTGTGTACACACTCAGCCTCCTTCCAGTTGCCTCAGAGACCAGAGGAAGAAGTTGATGGTTTCTACTGAGGTCCTGACATTCCCAAGACCTTCCCCTACCCAACCAACTCTGAAAATACAGGATCCAATTATCACTGAGAATTAGTTAGAAGAGGAAAATTTACATTAGAATCTGGAGTGTCTTACAATTACAGCAACCCCATGGGCTCACCTGAGCTGGGACACAAACCCTGAGCTTGCATAGGAGGACGGAGTCTGTGTGGGAAGGGGAGGTGCCCACAAGGAGTGCATCAGCCTCCGCCAGCATCTCAGCAGTGGGGACTAAGAGGGAAAGGGAAGTCTGGGGACATTTCTGGAACAAGTGCATGCATGAATGTGAACACAATGTCTGGTGTGTCCATGCCCATGTCAGCCACTTGTGCAGAGGTGCTGAATGTGGTCTCTGGTGTGAGCACACCCCCGAGTGTTCATGCAGGGTATGGCAGGGTCAGGCACGCAGTTTGCATCTGGGTGCAAGCACGTGAGGGTGGCGTGCAGGGGTGCTGTCTATACACATGCAAGGGTGTGCCGTCAAGGCAAGGACTGCAGACGCTCCCACTGACCAGCATGTTCTCCTGTGCTGGCAGCACCAGCTGCTTGTCTGCTGAGGCTGTCTCCTCCTCACACTTCTGCTTCTGGCCAGGGCCAGGAACTCTGTGGTCCCGGCTCGCCCCATCTTGGGAAACGGAGAAGGGCCTGGAGACCATGAGCCGGAAGTAGTGTGGGATCTCTGTAGTGTTGGTCAGCTTCAGGTGGTGGGTGATCACCAGCTCACTCAGCACCTGGACAGCCACAGAGGTATGAGGCAGTAGGAGGCAGGGAATGCATCTT